GCGGGTTTACTGTGTGTTTGCGTGTGGGGAGTTTTTTTGTGCGTGCTCTATAGTGCCCGTAATAGTGTTCACTGGAGTCCAGCACCTCAGCACCTCAGCACCCCCACTCAAAATACCTTGCTGTCGCATCTGACCTGTTGCTACTGTCTGCAGTAGATGCAGTGTTGCTGGCGTTTAGTGATGGTTGCTTTAACCATTTCCGTACAAATGATTATCCACAGATCAGATGTGTGTCACTGCTGTAGAAGCACTTTGGAAATGATGCACGCGCAGCGGAGCAGGTCACGCGCACCTGACACAATTTGTTGTTAGTATTTTTCGCTACGTTCTCTTTTTTGAATGGTTGCATAACGTTCAACTTCCCCGAAGATCTCGACGCGAAGCCTGAAGGGTAAACACCAGGTTTACTAATCTACCCGCACAATTTGTCCGGTGTCGGAATGTCTCGCTGTTAGTGTTAGTACATTCTTAAAAAACAAAACACCATTTAATTTCGGGTTAAAATGTGTTGTAACTGCGTTACTGAGCATTGTAACGGGTAATATATTACCCACATTTCATTAGTAATGCGTTACATTACTTCGTTACAGCAAAAAGTAATATATTACTGTAACTCCGTTACTTTTGTAACGCGTTACACCCAACACTGACCACTAGTATAGCTTTCAGAGAGAAAAACACGTGACGTTTGTGTGGTTGGCTGCATGATCAAATGTGTGTGTGTGTGTTCATTACAGTGGCTATACTGTGTGATTGTTGCTACTGGTGGGGGGCATTTCTGCGATTGGTTGCTGAGAAGCAAGGTAAATGTTTCCCCATTGTTATTTGTTGTTGCACAACTGAATAATAATTAATCTCAACCATCTCTGTGTTTGTGTTTTATTGATCTCTCTCTGTGTTAACATTTAAGGTTGGTGAGCCATAAATTGCACTAACAAAGCCTCAAATATATATGTTTAAGGCATGCACCCCCTTCTTCAAATTTGAATGGAGTGTCGGTTAGGGGGCCCTAGCTCGTGGTAACGGCTGGAATAGCAAAGCGACTTCAGAGGTGGGGAAGCAAGCTCTCAGTGTTTCCTGGATCTGATGTAAGCTCCTTTATCCCAGTAACAGAAGATAATGGTTCTCTATGTCAGTGGTACCTAACCGGGGGTACGGAGACCCCTAGGGGTACTTGAGGGGATGCAGGGGCTAAGTTATTAGGGATCGCAATATATTTCCACCCAAAACATTTTTGGGGATAAACGTTCAGAAGCCTGGCGTCTTGCCCCCAGAAAAACCAAAGATTATAAAGACAAGCAAGCTTAAGTGTCTCATTAAAAGCTCTTAACAAAATGTGTTGAAACTGCTAGAAGTGAGTCCTAATATTATTATTTTCCACTCATAAGTGTAAATGTCAAGTTTAAATGCATTTGTAATAAGGGTGAGTTATACCAGTGATTGTCATTTAGGAGCAGTTGGGTGGAATATGATTACAAAGGGTTTAATACAAGAAAAAAGGTAGGTTATTCATCACAGATGAGTGAGGGGGTACTTTGACCAACTCAAGGGGTACACGAGACAACAAAGGTTGGGAACCACTGCTTTATGTCACCAAACAGAGGGCCAGATGGAATTCAGGCACATTACTCAATGAATGTGACCAAAGTTGTGTGCTCTGTAATAGGGTGCTTCCATTATGCCATGAACTCAATTGTGTCTTCATTTTGAACGACAGCTTTGCAGTGATGGCTCTCATTTTTCCAGGCATATCCAGTCCCTGCATGTATCGGAGCTTCTCGATAACATTACAGCCACCATGACCTAAGAATTTGTTTTTTCTCTCTCTCTCTCTGTGTAAGCCGCTGTGATTTTGTACTGATTTCAGTGTTCTTATAGAATACCCTGCGATGCTGCAGAGCCCCTCGCAGCGGACTAATGTTGGCAGTTACAGACCACTTCCGTTAATGTAATGTTATTAACTGTTCCAAATAGAGCAATCTCCCCCTTCATGTTCCCTCTTCCTTGGTGTTCCGCATGTGCTGAAATCCAAACAAAGTTCTAACTGTAGCTAGGTTTTGAGGGTTAGGTTCTAGTCTGATCCGGCACTGAGATGTTAAACTTTGGTGCAACCTGGAAGATGCGTTTCTCCTGTTGTCTGTCTAGCATACAATACAATTTGCTGTGAACATACAATCATATACAATACAAATTATTCCTAAAAACAAAACATACCTCACTGTTTCATTTCATAATTTTTTTAATTTGTTATTACAACAGTGCCAGAGTAAACATGAGTTATGTCATTAACAAAACAGAACAAAATTAATAAGTGACCAGAGAAAGTACAAAAGCACATTTCCATTAAGAACGAACAAGGTCAAATGATTTTGAAAGACATGGTATACATGAATTGCATTCCAAATGGTGACTCTTTTTGCAGCGACAATATTTTACAAGCCCTTAAAAGGCGTACAAATTATATCTGTAATATTGGGCTATTCAAGGAGAGATAGGACATCTCTCTGGAATCTGAGGTCTGCGGACCAGTTCCTAGTTCTCAGGGGGCTGTCCCGTTAAGACAGGTCAGGGGGGGGGGCAGTAATCTCAGGTCTGCTGCTGCCTGCTTCTTCAGTGCCTTGCAAACTGGAACGTGATTATTAAGCCTCTTAGACACCAAACTGACACCAAAGAACACCAAGGAACGTCGGGACGCGTCGCCTCACGTCTCCTGTGTCTTGGTCATGTTTCGCACTGGAACACACCGCAAAGACTTTAGCCGACGGCCAAGAAGCACGTACGAACTGTGCATGCGTGAGTGGCAATAACTTTCCTTACCAGCAGGCGGCGGTAGTGTATATTCGTTATTTCAAAAGATCAACAACAGCGGAAGACAGACTGCGTGATACACCGAGAGAAGAACAGACTGCGTGATATAAACAAACAACAAATAGCGTGTGCGTTCCATTTCCACTCTACAACGAGAAGCTCATGGGGCTTTCCTGAACCTGTGTCGAGAGCTGGAGTTAAATGAAATCTCAGATTTGCCTTCTTAATCGTTTGTTTGGGTCCCTCACTTACGTTTCGCTTCTCATGCACTGATTCACTAGCTGAACAGCCGATCAGAGTGATTTCTTTTTTCAACATGTCGAATCGGCGGCGGAAGGTGTCGGCTGAAAAGACACGGCGGTGCAGTACACAACAATCTGAGTAGGGCGACACAACGCTCATCGGCGGCCCGAATTCTATAAACATCTATCAACGCCGAAAATCAGCTTGGTGTGTAAGGAGGTTTAGGGGAGCAGTCTGGGCATTGACAGCTGTAAGTAAAGGTGTTCCTGTTCGCATGTGAACTGTGCTTTTAAAAGGCATGTTCTAACAGCACACTTCTTTCTGTAAAACACCATACTTTTTCACAAACTCACACACAATGTAAAACGCAGAATGTAACTCACTGGGTCACAAATTTATTTATATACTGTATATGTACATAATTGTGTATGAAATAAAAACAAATATATCAAAGATTAACACTTTATAAATAGTGTAAAAAAAACTAAAGCAGTGCAAGTAAAAATAAACACCATCTGTTCCAGAAGACTGCAACACCATGAACACCAACACCGAGAACACCAACACCATGAACACCGAGAACACTGAGAAAACCATGAACACCAACACCATGAACACAGAGAAAACCATGAACACAGAGAACAGCTTCAGATTCAGAGAGCCAGTCAGAGCTCAGTGTCTGCGTGCAGCATGAGTTAGAGGTGAAGATTTCCTCATTGTGACCACTGCTAGTCCACACATTCGGATAAACTGGTTAATACAGGGCATTAAAGTTTTTCAGTGTGAACATTTATTCTTGAAGTTAGCCTAATTAGAAATCCACTTACTAGCTACTATAGGTGCCTTAAATTGTATTATAAGTCCTCTTCAGTAAACACTTAACTACTGAGCTTGCTTGTCAACAAGTCTTAAACAAACTCCATCCGATGATACATGTTAAACGGACTGCATTTCTATATTGAATGTGGTGACAGCCAAGGTGTGTGTAGTGTGATGTAATAATTTTACCACAGGACGAAATCAGAATGAGATGTTAACCTTTCTTTAAGGTTGTTAATTTTAAACAGTTGTTATTTCTTTCCTAATGTTTGCTTTTAATGCAGCCCACTATAATGAAGTATTGAATCCTTTGGCTGACATGTTATGAAATATTCAGCTCTTGACAGACATGCATAACAACACTGACAACTGACACGTCTCCTGCTGAGATATCAGGCAGCTCTGTGGAGAAGTCATACGTACGAGCAGATAGACAAAGGGGGAGCACACACACAGGTGATCAGTCACCTCTGGAACAGAAGGGGGGGCCATTGGCTGATCAGTTCAGCTCTGGGGGTATGAGTGCTGTGGGGGTCTCTGGTTCAGCAGGGCTGAGGGACTGTAAAAGACAGAAGCAGAATCAGCACCATGCCATCACTTCTCCTCATATCAGAAAGTTGTGACTATAAAGATATATGTTTATGAGAAGAGGGGGAGGTGCTTACGACAAGGTGCTCTCAATGATTTGTATTATTAAGTAACGCTAATATAAGTGAAAACTGTATTTGTTTGCAATGGCTGGTGCAAACTGGCTGCCTTTAAATAAGCGGGCCTGTCATTTCATTTCGTGAAAATATTTATATACTGCCGATTTGTATTCTTTCAACACAGCTTTTCAAACGGACTTAGTCTCCTCGCTGTGTGTGACTGTATACCACTTTTACAATATACCATCTTTTAATTGACCTTTGTACATTTAATCATCACATTTTGTCTTTCGTCCGATTGTACTTCTTGATGACCTTTGACAGAGCTCTGGCTGTGCCTTAGCACTGACACTGTTGTGGTATTATTCTCTTGTATGAAGTCTTTGCTCGTGAGGTGAAAGTGTTGCAGCCTTACAGCGTACGGTCCGAATCCATGTCTCTGCCTGAAGAGCAGGAAGCAGAGGACGGCAGAGATGGCCGTCTGAGCCAGGGTGAAGACGAGGAGGGACGCCTTCACTCCTCTGCTCAGCCTCTGTTGGAAAGACACACAGCGCTTCATCGACTTGAGTCCCCAGCTCAGACTGTCCTAATGCCAGAACACCTACACCATACCACTGGCGCGTCCTAATACTTTAACTTTCCACTTCACTTTAACCCCCTGGACAAACATTTATATTTTTCAGTTAATATCCTCAACAATGTTTTCTATATTTGCCATGATTAGGACGTTTTTAACCAAAATGGTGGAGCTTGTTATTGAAGGAGGTGTTGTTTTTCTTCTATGCTTCACACCAACCACACAGCACATCTACATGGCAGTCATCACGCACTGAGTGTTGGAAAATGTGAGATCTTAATGTTAACTTCATGTTTGTGGATGTATTAAGAATGAATGGACCAAAGCACTGAGTGACTGTTACTATTGAATGGTGAACTAGGAACAGGCAGGGCTACATTATTAAAGTTCAGAGTATGGATGTCTGCTCTCTCTGGTGGCTGAGTTTCTCTCAAACAGCAGGAAGAGAGGTGGACACTGAAGATACCTCTGCCCGTCCAGGTAGCATTATAGTCTACTTACCATAGAGCATTACAGTTCATTGAAGTTAAAGCCTTTTATTGTCATTATACAAAAAGTACAACGAGATTCAGAGTCCATTGTGGGTCCACAACTGAGACCTTATTCATCTATCAGTCTAAAATGGAGTAGGCAATAGTACAGCGGAAAGCCAAACACTGGAAGCACCCTGACTCTCCCAGTTAATTAACTGACTCCAATCCAATTAAAGATGTGTTTATTTTCTTAAGGATACAGCGATTGCTTTGCTTTGTGTGTTCATGCTTATTGATGAAGTTAACTTGTTAACCTAGGCCAGGCCTAAACCCCGTCTCTAATCACAGCCACCCCTATTTATATCCGGCCAAACTTCCGG